TTCCACTTAAAACATTTGATTTGCTTTTGACTTGTTCTCTACATACACATCACTCTTATCAAGTCAACCAACCAACAACTTAAGCATCTTTTAGTCTTGTTAATTAAGCTGGCACGCTCTATAGTGTTACAGCCGGATCCTTTTCTCAAATTCCTAACGTTGTACAATGAATTTAGTCTCACTACACATATTGTGAAAGCCAGCTATAGAAATCCAATGTGGCACCATAATTAAAGAGAGAAAGAAAGGATAAGCACGCAGCAGGATTAACAATGGATTGCTCCGTGTTAGATTTGTGTTGTATTTAAATTGTTCGTGTTAAACATTACTTGATATATACTCTCGACCCCTATATATATATATATATGGGTGTCATGTCAAATTTATATTGTATATAAGTTGTGTTTAACCAAAATCTATTTATTCTAATAAGTCTAAGTAATTCAATTGTTAACTACTTGAACATGATAAAATTAAATCTAAATTTTCTAATTTCATATTGAGTTCGTGTGTTGCATCTAAAATTGTGAATCCATAAGAAGTAATTCTATTTTTTTTAAATACTGTTAAATAATGATGATACCAAAAACATGATTATGGTTGAACTCGAGCTTTTAGCTCGGACCTTTCTAGCTCGGATCATTCAGCCCATTATAGATAATCAGAGGGTTCAAGTTGACACCTCCTACCCAGCAACTACACCCCCATAGGAACATCGATGACAACAGGCTTCTACCCAAGCGCTATGCATAAATCATAACGATCTCATATTTGGACAAGGAAATCGCAACCGCCTCAGTATTATCCATATCAATCACATAAAAATACGCAACCGTTACAAGAAGAAGACAATGATCACACCGAGGCTCTGGCAAGACCTTAGAAGACTATAAATAAGATGCATATTCCACTCAATGAAGAACAAACAACTAGCCTAAACAAATGGTCTGTGTAATCTTCCCCCCTTTATCAATAAAATCATCCCTAAGAGTAGGAGGCTCATTTGAGAGTGAATTAGTCAAGCTCTCCATCTGATGAATCACTATAAACCCTTTGTGTCCAATTTTCCATCTCTCTTGTTTAAGTCTTAAGAGCCTAAGACCTCCGACAGAGTCATTCATTGATCCACTAATCCCTAAAAATCATAAACTCTGTTCAATTAGGCCACAAGTGATCCACTAACATACACGTGACAAACATGGGCTTATGGTAAGTTTGTCATTTAGAATAGGAAACAAACTTTTCTTCAGTATATAATTATGGACTATAACGAAAGCCAACCAATCATCCATGATTATTCATGCAAGTTGAAGTTGGTGGTTCTCGGCTTCCTCAGGGTTGGTCCATTGAAAGTGCCCAACTACCACCAAAAAAATAAACCAAAAGTTATTGTTTTTTTACCTACTCCATTCTTTTTATTAGCTGAGGATGAGAGAGAGAGACATTCTTTCGAATATAATTATTTTATTATTTTGTTGTAATGAGAATTCATTGAAGTATAACCTAATTCAAAATAATTATAATTTTTATATACTATTTAAATGTAATTCATTCTGAGTTAAAAAAAAGTCCGTTTCTATTTTCTTGAATTTTAATTTTTTTTGTATTTTTGTAAATATACGTGACGTTACTACGTTAATGGTAATTAAGCCCATTACTAACAAATAAGTATCTAAACAATTCAAATAAACTACCCAACACCTTTCCACCACCCATACCCAAATGCCCCCACCTTTCCACCACCCACAAAACCAGCCGGCCTTATCATATTATGTTCCCCATACATAGGTTTACTGCTTAGGTTCTTTTTATATTTAAGATTGCTTATCTATTTATTCATTTATATACATTTATCTATCTATATATATAAAAATAAATAATGTTTTAGGGAGGGGCTTTAAGAAGTATTCCCTCCTTAGTTTTTAATTTATAGAATTTTGGATTATCTAATTATATTTCAAAAGCTTTTTTAAATCATATTTTGATATGTGTAACTTATAAACTATCTATGGCTTTTTCAACTAACTACCCATCATATATTTATTCTTATTTAAGAAATTATTTTTTACTTCCCAATAACTTTTCAAATATAAAAATTAGAAAGGAGAATGATGAAGATAAAAATAACAAAAAATGATGAGTTATAAGTACTGTGTACCGAACGAGTGGACACTAATTAGATCCTATTTAGTTATAACTTTTAGTGAAATGTCCCGTTTGATACGATAGTTGAATCATAAGTAAACAAATATTTTAGAAATTAATGCAAAATCAAGAATTAGATCCTGCAGTTTTGAAGATCTTTCAATAGCAGATCTTTCATCATGAAAATATCTATGACCCACGATGCAAATAAGTCACCCACCATTATATTGTCCGGGTCATTGTTTTTTTTTGACCGATATTGTTTTGCAATACTGCAATCTGTATGAAATTATCGTCATGCTCAATCTCTTCTATATAAAATTTCGAAGGTATTATTTGATAACCGTCCTGCGATGCCACAACAGATTACCTTTAATCAATAGTCGATATCACAATGGGTAGAATGGGGACTTAGCTGCATTTTTGTGGCGACCACTGATAATGCAGAACAAGAACAAGCGATCGAATTGTTCCTTATCTAATAGAAAAAAGTTCAATTATGACCCACCTACCTTTTTGTACCATGATGTGATGCGTTGTAGTAGTTGGATCATGCAGTATAATAAAGCTTACGAGAGGTTCCTACCATTGGAGGCCGGGAATACATCTTTACTACATATTACACATATCCGACCCTCCCACCCTCACAGTGGCAAACTTCTTTATCTACTGAGTCTAAGCCTGTACCACCCTAAGAAGAATATATTTTTCTTGGTCGAAATCTGAAGGAAAAAGTTTTAGTGAGAACTCCGTCTCACCATTACCATCAACAAACCTTTTAAAGTATTGATACGTTTCACTACAGATAAAGGAGAATCAATTCAAAGAGATCACTTACGTTGCACTGAGACCAATTATATTCTCGATATTGAATGAATGGTGCATCATTTTCAATTGGATGGACGGTCTTTTTTCGAATAGTTTTAGTGCGCTTTTTTCTTCTGATTTAAGTAGTGGAGAGCCGTTCACTTTGGTGTACCTGTACTTATCCACCATCAAGCATCGTCCTCACTCATTTTCAAAGCATGTTTCTGTGAGTTTGAGGCTTGCTTGCCTTACCTTACAGTTAGCTTTCTTCTCATCCAACTGTGGGTGTCAACATTTTAGTTTCGATCTTTTTATTATCTTTTTTCACCTAACAAGTATTATATACCGGGACAATAGTATTTGCATTAACAATTAAATTAAAAGAAAATTTCATCCACCCCCCCTCTAGTTATGTCTAAATTCAATGACACACTCTTCCAACTTTGAAATTTTACTGCACCCCTTCTGGTTTAAACTTTTAAATCAAAAACACCCCCTTGATGGTAATTCTTAACTTTGTTAGTACAAAAAATAACGATTTGACTATAAATTTTTTGAAAATGTCAAAAGAATCAAAACTACCATTCATTATGCAAATATATTAAAATACCCTCAACTATTTTTCCACAATATATACCACATATTTTGTTGTTTGTGAAGGTCTAAAACGATATGGGATTGCTGGAAGACAATAGGGGACTAAAACTAACCATTATTTTTCAACTCGTTCTCTACGGTAATCGATCACTAAATTGATAAAAAAAATATATATATGTATTTTTTTTTTCTTGCAGGTTTGTAAATATTTTTCATGCAATTTTTCATGCAGATATTTTAAATTTTTCTCATGCAATTTTTTTTTTTAATTTTTTTCATGCAATTTTTTTTTTAATTTTTTCATGCAAATTTTTTTCGTCGAAAACACTCATGAGACTTTTAAGTCATTAAGTCCATTTTCTTATAAGTTGTTAGATAAGAGGTACACTTTTTAATATCTTATTTTCTTATATCTAAATTCTCTTTGTGGTATCTTTTTTTGTTGTTCATTATAAATTATAGGATTTTAAATTTATTTTATAGTTAAAAATAATTTTTTTATAATAAAATTACAATCAATAAAATCAATGTCAAAATTTCATCAATTTCTAACTTCTCTGATATCGTTTGTCCTTCACAACGTCACCTGAATACTCTTCATACATCACTCTTCATATATAAAATGTAAATATTATTTGATAAATTTTAATATTAATTAAATAAATTTGGTCTTAATATGATAAATTTAAATATTAATTTGGTTTTAATTTAATAAAATTAAATATTAATTCAGTGTTGATTTGATAAAATTTAATATTAATTGAATAAATTTAAATTTTACTTTAATGAAATTGAATGTTCATTTGATGTTAAATTAAATAAGTGATATTAATTTGATAAGGTTAAATGTTAAATTAATAGAATTTAATAAAATTAAATATCAACATGGTGTTGATTTGATGAAATTAAATAATAATTTAAAATTAAATAAATAATATTAATCTGATGAAATAAAATATTAAATTAATATAACTTAACGCTAATTTGATAAAATTAAATATCAATGTATGTTGATTTGATGAGAAGAAATATTAATTTAGTTTATATTAAATTGATGAATCTAAAAATTAATATAATAGGAGTAAAAGAGAGTGAAATTGAAATTTCAAAATTACGAGGGATTATTGCTAAAGAGAGGTCTATTTAAAGAGGTGTCGTTGAAGTTATGTATATTTACGGAGAGTATCGTTGAAGTTATGTCTATTTACAAAAAGTGAAAAAAATTTACCAATAAAACATTCAGGGTATTTTTATAAATTAACAATCACAATTAACATCATAATTGGACAAACACTGACAAGGGGTGATAATGAAGTTTCATAATCAGGAGGTGTGTCATTGAATTTAGACATAATTACAAAAGGTGTGGATCAAATTTTCCCATAAATTAAGCATACCAGATTGGTACACGTGTGGTGAACTTCACAGCAAGCATATCAGAATCAAATACACTTCCCATTGCACTACAGGCCGGAATGTATATTATACATTATACCCCCAAAGTACACAGAATGTAAGCCATGCCAAATTGCCCCCATTTCTGGTTCCATAATCACTTCATTTTGTACAAAAGACGAAAAAAAAAATGGAACCTCTATGTGTGAATGCCAAAAAACAGTCAAAATGACAATGCAAATCAGCTCAAGTGCTAGGAAACAACCCTGCAAGCAATCACTTCACCAGCTCCTTTGATATGAGATACCGGAAAGCAAAATTATGAGGAAGCCATTCAATGCTCTTGCGGGATTTCTCTAGCTGACATCTCTTAATGCTCTTCCTCAGAGATTCGGGTAAAGACTTTTGGAGCATCTCAATCACACCAGCCTGACACAACCCTGAATCCTTGGCATAGGACTCAACGATCTTTGGCAATAAGATCTTCTGGTTCTTCCGTACACCGAAGGTAGCCCGAATGTACTCTTCTTTTGCAGCTTCCAGCTCTTGAAATACTCTCTTGGGTGTGTAAACACGCACCTGAAAAGGAAGGAAAGTCAACCCAATTGGAGAAAAACCTTAGAAATATAGGTGATATTTACACCATGCATCTGGTTCTTCATATGTCTCCTTCATTATTTTGATTTTGTTGTTCCTCAGCCATTGTGTATTTGGTGGGTACATATAGCTAAATTCAGGACAACACACACACACACACATGTAAATATCATTGAGATGTACTCCAAACTAATTAATTGGAACTAGTAGTCCGGAGCAAATTGATGTTTTGGAGTTGTTCTTGCCAGTCACCTAACATATATCATTGTAAGGAAATCAAAAGCACAATGCAGACTTTGATGAAGGATTCAGATTGTGAGGAATGGATGTGATTCTTCATTAGTTTTTAGCAATTACAAAGAATTTCTGGTCACTCTGGGGATTCATCAATTTGGGCAATTCAAGAATGTTAACATGGTTATAAATAATCCTGTAAACTAACGCTGCACAACAATGCAGCGCTTATGGCAGAAAAAAGGGGCAGCCCAGTGGACGAGGCTCCTGCCACTGAGGGATCTAGGGCAGCCAGCGATAATGGTAGAAATTAAATGAAATATAAGAGTACCGCAGGATCAGAATGGCTCCCCAAACAGAGGGAAAAGTGCAACAGAGGTTCTGGATGCTTAATTGCATATGCTTGTCGTCCATCTCCTGCTTTAAATTTTGTTCTGGAAGAAAGTAACAAGCGGAGCCACTACAAACAAAAGCAAGCACTATGAGCACTACAAAAAACATGAAGTCAGTTTAAATCTACTGAAGTAAATAGAAACCATGAAATATCTGCTTGGTTTTGTCTCTAAATTGACTTCGACTACATTTTTTTTATATAAATTTTTGGCAAGGTGCTGGGAGGCAACTGGCAGGGAAGAGGGCAATGGAGCCAGCAGGAGGGATGAGTTTTGACAATTTTTAGAAGAAGAAACAAAGAAATGAAAATGCAAAAAGAATATCATCAATGCACTCAAATAGGCCCTCATTTGCGTCCAAGAAAAGGATTTCATGACTGGTAATAAGATTTAGGCCCAAAATCACATTACAGAACTCGACCATATGGAATCCGGGGTATAACTGCTCATATAAAAGATGTCAACGGTTGTATCAAATGATTCTGACAGATCATACATACTCTGGAAAAACAAAGCATAGCATCTACCTGTCCAGGGCGAGACATTCGGCATCCTAGAACAGAGCTCTGTATTACATCTGCACTTACTACATGACCGCCAATATTGTACGCAGCCTGGATAGAATTGAAGTGTAAGGAAATAATCCTCAAAATGAATTACTTCAAAGACAAACCAATAAGGTACTCCTTACCTTTAAGAGTAGAAATACTCTCTTCACATTGTTCTGTGGTATTCCATAAGCCAAAAATGCCTGTTAAACAAAAGCTAAATGTTATTGGCTCAGATCAGAGGTGGAACTGCTTAAACTAGATAATGCTGCTATATTCAAGTATCTATCTGTGAATATCATTACATGCATCACCAACGCATTGTGTATGTTGATCCAGAATGCTAGCTTTTCCTCATGTTTCAGCATCCTGGGATCTATTTCTTCAAGCCGTGAAATAAGCAACCTACAAGGTAGTAATCATGAGCAAAACCGCTCCAAAGTACAGGTTCCAAAGGAAATTTGATATGCTCGAGTTGCCTTATATCATCATAGCTAGTATAGCAAAACTCACACCATAAAAGCTCACCTGAAAGTTTGTAACATGTGTTCGATATCACCCAATTTCTGTCTATCTCTATATAAACATTGCACTTCAACCATTGTGCTGTATGGTCCACTGAACTCCTTCAGCCCTTCAACATGGAAAGGGTTATCTAACCGCATGTCAAAAGATGAATCTTTCCTAAAGCCTGGACTCCACATATCATACTGATCTTTTGGAGAAAAAGCACTCGCTGATGACAAAGATGACGTAGGAGATGAGAGGTCATGATTCGTGCGAGGGGGATCAGCAAGCTTGCAATAGATGGCTGACATACACTTCACCATTTCCTCAGAAAGCTTATTTGGAGTCTCTGGAAGATGATCAGAAATACGAGTACCAAGATGCTCTGCCAAACTGATTACATTTGAAGTGGCATTCTGCGCAAACTGTATAGAAGCCATCAATAGTCAAGACCCATAGAAACCAGTTGTAGTTCTAAATTTACAATGAACTAAACTCCTATAAAATTATTTTTCCCATAATCACCAATTCCAAAGGGAATGCCGAAAATAGAGCTCGAAATAACAATATAGAGACACAGCATCATATCTTTGTTGCCCCCCCCCCCTCCCAAAAAAAACCAAAAACAAAAAAAAGTACTAGAGCAGTAAATAATTGGTCAACCAAATGAAAATGAAAAACAACACAAGGTAACACCTTTCATGTAGTGATATGGCAAGTTGTGACAGGTAATCGTAAAGCAGTCAAATCCATCTGTAGCAGTTCTAATATTATGGGATATAATTCAAGTTACCTCCATCATGGACAAAGGTTGGGAATGACATGATCGCACAGCTTTACCCATGGACTCTGCTGGAGGAGAAGTTCTATTTGTAAGAGCTGAACACTGAGATATTGAGGATTGACATCGAAGAATGCCGGCATCTAGTAGCTTCTCTTTGTCCCCTGCGCCATTGGACTGCTTCAACGGAATGGGAAGGGACCGAAAATCAGCTTGAACTGCCGCATTTCCCCTTTTTAAAGTTATATGGGGTGTTGAGACTTCTAGATGCTTCTCTTTTGGGGCAGACAAAGGTGAACTTAACTTTTCACCTTTTGTAGAAGGAGGTAGAGGGGAAATTTGTGGATCAAATGCTCTCCGGTACAATGAGAGAAGATACTGCTCCAAATGCCCAACTTCCAGCTCTAGTACTGAGATTTCTCTAATTAGTTCTGTAGCCGGCTGGGTTCAAACACAACATTTTTTCAATGCAACGACCAAGATATGGTGTGGATAAGGCAGAATAATAACAGTAGTGATAGCAGCTAATGCCAGAATCTATGATACATTAAAACTTACTTCTTCAAAATACTAGTATATGTCAGACAGGTACAATATGAAAACAGACAGTCTCGTTTACTATAGGATAACAAGTAAAACAAATTCTACGCTGAAATTTTGTTATAGACTTCAGACCATAAAGATATGATAAAAAAGAAAGGAACTATCACGGATAAAACATTCAGTGAAACTACAGGAGCACCCGAAAAGCTAATTATATGTTCTTCTCTCCATCGGAACAATAGGGCCATTATGTTCATTAATAACTTGTTGAAAAGATGAAATATAACCAAGGTATATCTTTTTTATCAGAGGTTGAATCGATCATTAGATAAAGAATTAGGCCAAAAATTAGGATACATTCTAAAAAAATAAAACTTCCATCGAAGAGAAACAAATGAAAGGCTTTCATAAAAATTCTCGTAGAATCAAGAATGAAGTTTTCATTCTGTACATACCAGCTCATGAATTAGTAAACTGCATCCAATTTCCAAAAAAATTCCAATTGTTTCGAACTTTCCATTTGGAATAATTTCAAATAAAAAAAGGAGCCATAATGTGTTTCCGCCATAACGGAAAAAAAGAAAAAAAAGAATCAGTTACCTTAGGCATTGAGATTTCATTTGTGATATCATGCGAGGAAGACCTATAACCCAATGCTTTTTCTAAAGCACAGCGTACTGCAACTTGGTCCTGTAATCTTTTCTCAAGCTGCAGTATCTGCATAGAAGATAAACTAGAAATCATCAAATAATGTTTTCATGAAGAGCCCTCCCACAATTCATAGTACAAGAACAAGAAGTACTTCAAGCCATTAAGTTGATTTAGGCTTTGAAAATTTTTATTTTCTTTTTCTGGGTTTGAAATCATTTTATCACGATTTTGGACCTACCTGTTTAGTTATTTACATTTTGCTTTGCATATTCTGGACCTAAATGTAACGGGACCTTCCAAATAATTTGTGTCTAGATCTGATGTGTTTATTAATGTACCTCTTGTCTTAAAGCATTTTGGGCCACAGCTTTTGGCGATTGTGTCTTCTTGGTCTTGTCCTTCAAGTTCTCCATATCCTGGTACCAAAACAAAGAGCATGAGATCTATTTTACGTATCCTATTGTCCAAAACTGATTCATTCAATCTGAGAGCTCTTATGATCAAAAAAGAAAAAAAAAACTGAGAGCTCTGTGTGCGTCATCTAGAATGGCATTTCATCTCATTTATCAAGGTGAAATCAAGAATGCAAAGACAAAAAATTAGAGATCATCATAGCAAAGTCGTGGACAGTCTAGATAAAAGTAAGTAATCATGCAAGTTACAAGACAACCACGCCATGATGTTGTGAGCTCCCTTCTTTCCTTTTCTTTTAAGGTCTCCTTTTTCACTTTTATTAGTTATTATTTCCCTTAGAGTTGACACTTTCACACTGAATAGTCCCTAGAATCACAAAAAACAAAAGGGCAGAAAAAAGTGTTCTTACCAACTTTAAACGGTGAGAAGCTTGAAGAGAATGATCTGAGTGATTTTCCTTGAATCCTCTCTTATCAGAAAAGCTGCCATTGCAAAGCCAAGTCATAAAATAATCAGAAAATAACCGAACAAGAAAGATTGAAACTTTTCATTGCATCTCTGGCCATTTCACATCTATATTCAAGCTTTATAACATAATTTATGTACCCTAGAATTATTACAAGAAAGAAGATCCAAGTTGATACTACTAGAATTCATTTCCTGAGACTTCACCAGGGAATATAGAAACCAACAGCCCTTGTTATCCAACTAACTACTAAAATTATTAAAAGATATAGAACTTGCAGAATAAAATAATTAAACTAACTATCAACTTATAAAATATATAATATATATATATATATATACATACATATACATAGAGAGAGAGAGAGATTATAAGCAAAAAAAAAAAAAGCCTTGATAATCAAGGCCTGAAAGTCCATTCAAGAGTTAATCAATGATTTACTTCGATGGCGAGTAATGATTCAATGCAACTAGGAAATAGCAACCCAAGAGACTACCAAGTCCGTAGATATCCCTTGTTAGGATTATCATTAACAAAATTGATTATGGCTTGATGAGAAAACTCTAGTTTCCACTTTCCCAAATAACCCATTTCAGAAGTCTTTCGAGTCCAAGAAACCCATCAACTCGCAAATGCCAAATACTGAACAGAGAAAGGTTTAGAATCAAATGGCTACCTCTTCGAACGCTTGTGGCTAGAAGTTTCTCCCAATCCAAGCGTAGTGTCATAGCCTTCAAAACCCATCTATGTAAATCAATCCCAAAACACAGCTATTTTCAGAAACTTTTCCCACCCAAATGTACAGAGAAGAACGTACAAGGATACACAGAAAACAGAGCAGAAAACACTTACACTCACACTCTCTCCTTAAGCAAACAAGTGAGTACCCAGATGGGATGTTTGGAAGATGAACCAGACCACTAGTCCAAAATGATCTGAGCGACCAAATGGGTCCTCAAAAACCTCTGCTTGGAATCAAAAACTCAACTTGTCTTCTTGCATTGCAACACCCTGTACGAGAGATCACTTGATAGCTTGCGTTGAGCAGAGTCTGAACAAAACAGAGCTCATGTGCATACGATAAACCCACAAATACGGCTAAGAAAAGGTGACCCTTTTGACCAGCTTGAATTCACTGTGAAGAGACTCGCCCAAATCTGTTAGCTTTTGGGCTATGGAGGAGCTTTTGGCGTTAAAAGAAGTAAAAACACTTTTACACTTCCGGGTTTTTTAGTTGGAAGAAATTCTCATGGTAGACGTCAAAAAGTAGATAAATTTACTCAACCAGAGGACAATTTCAAGCAGACGACTAATGAGGGGTCTCATAGTTTATTAAGATATGAGCAATTTCAACCCAATCCCCACATTCTCTTCTCTTGTTGGCATGCAAGTGGGAGTGGGTGAGCGTTCCTTACACCTTTGTCCCATAGCGCCAATCCACCATATAGCTTGCAGAGGTAGTGTGCCCCTATTTGAAGATCACCATGTGACCCATACTGTCTGATAATTACCCATAAACTATCTGCAAAAGGTAATTCTTATCCGCAAGGCCTTTCTAACTTTTTTATTTTTTTCAATGTATTCAGATAACTTACATCTATGCCGATTAATCTTCTTCTTAATTTAATTAAAAATAAATTATTTATATCGGGACTAAAATATTTATGTGTGATTTATTACTCATGGCTGAATCCTAAGAATTGTCAAAATTTAAATTTCAAATGTCTGAATTTATAATTTGTCTTTGTTATCACTTGATTTACCTAATTTAGTTTAAGACTTTTTTAACTTTTGGTGCAATATTTGTCCAATTTATTTTAGATTTTTTTTTTGATTAGTCACTACTCCAAGGAGGAATCCTTGAATTTTGCATTTTTGATCAGAAGGTCCAACAGTCAAAAAGTTCAACCTTAGGTTTAACAGAAATAAAAAGTCAAAAAAATTGAGAGAGAAAAAAAGGTAAATAGGGCAGCATCTCCAGGGTCACTGGCGTCAAAACTAGGATTTCAAGCCAAGAATGCCAAGGGGAATAAATATTAAAATGTACCACACTAATGTGTTAAAGTAGTTGTTCCTTTTTTATACATTCATATTCATGACAAAACTGCCAAATGAACTCAAAAACTGTTAGAATTATCTTCACCTATTTTTTCATTGCAGTGCATTGAATTCTAATTACTTTCTCCTTTTTAAACTTATGTAGATTAGTCAAACAATGATCGAGACATAAACCGTACACATCCTAAGTTTGAGTCTTAAAATTTACATAAAATTCATGTTAAAAACAACATGAGATTTACGAGTGATTGATCCATCCAAAAATTTATACGATGGAGACTATTTTTCATCACACAAAAACAAAATCTTTTTTTTTATTTTATACAAAGTGGCAAAATCTCTATTTCACTAGGCAAGTTAAGGTTTTCTAATAGAATAATGTTGTATCAATCATTTTTGTACACCATTTTTCTTACACTATCTGATGTGATACAATCAAAGTTATTGAATATTTAATATATTATGCAAAATTTGCTAATCTAACGGTTTATGTTGAAGTCGTGCACAAAAATAGTATAAAAAAAGGGTGTTGTGTAGCATTGTTGTTCCGAATAAACGCAGCCAAATGTTTCGAACAATGACAGAAAATCGAAATTGGTTATGTCAGTATGTGAGTTAACAGGACTTTCCTAGGCTAAGAGAGAAAGGCAGGCTGAGTCACCTCAAAAGGGATGAAAGTTGAGAGGTGAGTGTTGACAGGAAACATTGGATGCTTGAAAGGAAACGAGGTTTTGTGTGTTTTCTCTTTGTCTAATCTCACTTTGAAGATTATATGAGAATGGTAGATACCCCACGCCACGTTGTCCTTGAGTATCAAAGAGACTAACGTTTGTCACAGAATCCTCCAAATAAAATAAAACATATTTATGGTCCTTGACCTTTTCCAAGATCGATACAAAGGAAAAGGATGTATGTAGCAAGGCTGTCAGCCCTCCCTTTGTCGCCATGTAGAGACCTACTCGGATAAAAAGCTTCTTTTACTCAGGTTACAAGTGAATGAACCTGTTTGCATGTGCGTGTGTGTGTGTGTGTGTGAGAGAGAGAGAGAGGGGGGGGGGGGGGGGAAGGTCATCTTGGTGAGTTATTGGTTGATGTATTTTTTTTTTTCCCTTTTTTTTTCTCCTAATGGTAATATGTGGTATGCTTGTAACTTTAGACTTGTAAGAAACTTTTATAGTGGGTTTGGTTAGATGGAAAGTTGGATGGGTGAAAATAAGGGAAAGAAAATGGGATGAAAAGAAAGAATTTTTGGTATTTGGTTACAAAGGACAATAGGAGGGAAAGAAAATTTGGAGGGAAAGTATTTTCCTCTAGCCCATTTTTTTTTTGGCCCCTCAAAAGTGGGAGGAAAGTGAGATGCAAAATTGAAGACAATTAATTTTTTGAACAACTTGACTTTTTTGCCCTTAAATATACTTTTAAATATTATGTCATAATTTTAATTCAAAACCTGCACATTTTTTAAGAAACGCTTCTAAATTATGCTATTACATATATTTTCCCTATGTATTTTTTTTGGTATACATATCTATATTTATTTGTTTATTTATTTTTATAACTAATTAGATCGACGCTAAATCTTGAAAAAATTATTTATAATAAAAAAATATTTATATATATAAAAGTATAATAGTAAATTAAGTACATGTATATTTTCTTTTTTCTTCTAATACTAAGCAATATAAAATAAATTCTTCCAATTTTTCATCTGTCGTACTAAATATAAAGAAAGAAAAATTCTTCTAAGGATAAAAATTCTATTCCTCACACTTTTTTATCTATTCAATTTTTCATATCTCCTACTAAACAGAACATTAGTGTTATAACCACCTATTTTCTATTATCACTATCTTTGACAATTGAAAATATAATTCTTCATTTTTGGGTTTAAGAGAAAGATAGAAATGGTCGTTTTTAGGTTCATATGATAGTTTAAGCTTGCTCATACTCATCAGGATGATGGAAAAAGCTCTACAATGTGGGTTTGTGAGTGAGAGAGAGAGAGAGAGAGAGAGAGAAGTAGGTAATGAACCTTGTAGCCCTGTAATGGACAAGTAACTTCTATTTTATCTTATTATCAATTTTTAAATGAGTAATTCACATGGGATAGTTTCTGATGTCAAACTCAAAAAGATTCTCATGAAGTTTGATGTAAATAATACAATGATATTGAAGTAAGTGAAGGACCATTTTTCAAATGAAACTGACAGACATGCTTTGTGGTTTCATGAATAATTGAGCTGTATTAATGATATTCTTTTAATTGTAGATTACAAAACAATGACATCCTCCTATATATTACCGATAGGGCACACAGATTTCCATGTTACTGAGATTTTTCTCGAAAATTTGTTCAGATTCCCCAATGTTTTTGTGATTTTAAATTGGAAAAAAATATTGGTTCTTGAGCTGTCCTTATTTCATACATGAAATTTGTAATTTAAATTGTGCCAAAATAATACCACACTTCCTATCAATTGAGACGGTCGGGTCGAGAGTGTTTGGATTAGTTTATGTACATTTTAATTACTCCCATTTTTGAGTTTGTAAGTGTTGCTTAGCAATGAAAAGGTGCGGTGCCCAAATCATATTCACTAGGTCCAAAATGGAATCAGAATCATTTTTTTTTTCTTCTCTGTCTGTGACTGCTGAGCATTGTGCCTCGAGTTGGCAAACACATATCATTTCTTAAAAAAATCCCTTGGAAGAGAGAGAGATGTAATATATCTGTGTGTAAACATATACAGACAGATAAAGAGAAGATCAATAGGAATCGGGAGAAGGGTTTTGAGAGTTTCGGGAAGGTGTAGAATCCCCACATGTTGACAGGAAAAGTGAACTTTCCAAAGGCTTCTGGACAAGTGAGTCAATGCCAATGATATATGGATATATAGATGCAAAAAGGCGTCTCTCCCCCCAACGGATCTCTCTCTCTCTCTCTCTCTCTCTCTCTAAATGTGACTATGTGAGGACCTTCAGGTAGTTTTGGTTCAAAACATTGGGGTGGCGCATGTTTTTTCAAAGCGTTTGTCATTTCAGGGTATGCCATCAAAATTAAACTGATATAATTCTACAAATAAGGCCGATAATTGTGCCGAATTACTCGAATTTGGTTTGTATAGGACTTGATTCAAACTTAATTCGTGATATAAACGAGTCGAATTTAAATAATTTTTTTTCACTTAATTCGGCTCACTTTCTAAATGAATCGAGATTGAACAATTTTTTTAACTCGTTTAAAAAAACGAGACGATTCGAACTCGTAAAATTCGATTGGATTATCAAATCTATCTTCAAACAAACGTTTTGCAGCGTGAGTGACGAGAGCAACACCATTGGTGGCTGCGTGGAGTATGAAATTTCGTATGAAAATCTTTAGCAACTTGTATACCGGTAAAATAATCTTAATATTGTAACTAGGAGCGAAAATTCTTAATATAATCCACCAATTAGCTTTGCAGACATGATTTGCCAATCAACTAATTCTTTTCTCACCACTTTCTATAATAACTGGTTTTGACATGCTAATTAATCATCGATTGAAAGGTTTTAGTTTCTCTAGATTTTTTATGTATATGTATGGAAATATAACTGATGAAATAAACCATGAACAATAATCATGGGTTGCGGGTTGGGCTACTACCCTATGGTACGGACCTATGCTTGCACTACTCTGCTCTGGCCCGACAAAATTTTCTCCGGCCTAGGCTTGAGCTTTGTAAAATTCGGCCAATCTTTGGGCCAGCAAGAGTTTGGACCCAATAAGACACTCGTTGAATCTGGAGATAATGGGATGTAGATGCTTTTTTTTCGGAACTTATTTGGCTTTAATACTATTTTCAAACTTATACTCCTTTAATTCTTTTTTTTTTTTATCAAATAGTTGTCAATAAGTACACATTTTCAAATTTTTTTTAAAATGTATTTCATATTTACCTCTACCATAAATAATGCATACCTAATTATCAGCTTCTATATTTTTAATATTTAAATATTATAATATGAGACTTTTAAGATTCTTTTTAATATAAATATACACACACACATATAATAATATTAAACAGTAACACGCTCAACAAAAAAAATAATAACGTCAAACAGTAACATGTTCAAAAAAAAAAAATAATATCAGGTACCTCCCTAAGAACTTAATAAGATAAAAGTACATTTTTTAAAATAATTGGGATAGAAGTACATTTGCTAAAAAAAAGGTCATAAAAACCTTTTTTAGACTAGGAAGATGAAGAAACCTCTAGTTTTGAGAATTAATAATATCTTTAATTTCTTGGCATTAGTTACTAAAGAGTCCTTAATGACAATTTCCAAAATCAAACCTTTCCTAACACTTTTTGAATTCACAAGATTTTGGGATTTCAATCCTTACCATCAAAGATTGTAACATTAAATAATAACACGCTAAAAAAAAAAATAGTATCATCAAACAGTAACATGCTCAACAAAAAAAATGGTAACAACAAACAATTTAATATTTGATATTACTATTTTGATAATTATTTGTTTACAAATACATTATTTGAAATTTCATATTTTCTTCTGACCTTTATATCATCCTTTTATCCATGCATTTTTTTTTTGAAAAGTGGAACACTAAACATCTTCTAATTTTATAAGAGAACTTTAATATTCAGTATTTTTACGTTCTCTCTTGATTCATGCGTATGTTTTTTTTAAAGTGATTTTATTTTCAAATTATATTAACAATTATGTTAATTGAAGTCATAGAGAATAAGGAATAAAATGAATGGGGAGTTGTTAAAAATATAATATTTAGGACACTTACTAACTGGTCATATATTCACTTAGATAATGCATTTAAGATTTAATGATGAGCTTATTAATACATTAAATTAATCAAAATCCTTTTTGTGTTAGAGGTTGGTTTTCACACACGTAGTACTTGAATTGGTCAAAGTATAACAAAATTCGAATACGTATGAATGAAATTGAACTTTAGTAAGGAAATAATGCTCTAGGGTGCATGTAATTAAGTTTAATATCTTTGAATATGCCTTAGAGCAGTGTTCTAAAATGATGAATTTTGAATTAATGTTTTAAAATGAAAAATTGTGTAATTTTCATAATTATTTATTTGAAGCATTTACCTTTTTGATTCATGTGTATTTTTTTTAGAAAGAGTTTTTTTTTTCAAATTATATTAATATCCGAACTCCATAACATAACAGTATAACAATAACAATGTAATAAGATATTTATACAAAATATTATACTATTATATTTTGTCAAACATATATTTTAATATAATTTCATTCAAAACGGTCTATCTTTGTTTTGAATTTGTTATCGCATGCACAAAATCATTGAACACTGTTTTTGTTACATTGTCTTGTTATAGTATATTATTACATTATTTTTGTTACACTTTTATGGAGTTCGGATATTAACATATTTTGAAAATTCAAACAAAGTAATATATCCTCAAATAAACGGAATATTAAAATTTTTTCATAAAATTATGAGATATTTGATGCATAAATATAATTTGAAAACAAAACCACTTTTAAAAAAAAAACGCATGAATCAAGGTGTATTAGAAATTTCGAATTAAATGACCTTAAATTTTAGCGTTTAAGATAAATGTCTTGTTATAGTTTTTAGGAAAGAAAATTTAAGATAATAGGCATTTACGTATTTATGTCTCAGCTGTGTATTTTTTTTTCAAAATATTTTGTTATGTGTACTTTTTTACAATTATGTCTAATTTGGTATATCGGTTACCAAAAGACTCAAAATCCAATGATTAACATGCCTTTGTATGTGGACTCAGCCAGGCCCATAATACCCTTTTGCGAATATATCAGATTTGCACTTCCAGTTATTGGGATTGGACTGGATCTAATGTGGAAGTAAGTCAGGCCCAAAACATACAAAAAGCTAGCTCTGCAGCCCAATTTCCCTACTTTAGGTTGTATTGCGCAAATCGCTACGCCCACGCCCAGTTGGCAACGCAGCTCATATTCATTATTGCGAAAATCGACACCACCGAATCCCTAAAAATGTCAAAACTATTGAAATAAATAAAATTATAATTTAATATAATTAATTCAGTATCAATTAAAAAACTTTGAGATCAATAACCATAAATTGAAATGTCTTAATCAATCGACCTCATTAGGTCATCTTTTTAGGTGACAACTAAGACCTATTATATAATTTTAGAATATACTAGCCAATTTTAATATGATATTTAATTAAATTCTGCCAAATTAAAACTAAAATTCTACTCATTTTTTATGCTAGCAAAACTACAATTTACACGATCTGATCATAGAATTTTTAAAAAATAGACATCTATTAATATTTTTTTAAACGAGTTTGTCATACTATAATAAAATTATTCATAGTGGATGCTAACAGCTAACCCCAGTAAGATAATCATATTATTTTTAAATTTATTTCTAGAATTATACAATATTAACTAATTTCCTATCAAATCTAATTAACAATCATCGGTCTAACTATTTTTTTGCATGAATTACCCTGAATTTTTTTGTGCGTAACCCCTAATTTAAGACCTACACCACCACGTTAGGGGCAATTATAGAAGCGGCCATCGCCCTTTAGAAAATAATTTAGATGTTTAATACCTTCACCACCAGTCCCCCCAGTGGCATTAAGGTTAGGGTTTTTTTCCTGCATAACCAGAGCCAGACCACTTCCTTCGTACCCCCACTACGTCCGCATATTACTCTCTTTCTCTCTCTAGACTTTTAATTTGATTTTCCATTGGACCGAGGACAAGCCCACTCACCCATATTCCTCGAAACCAAAAATCTGGTCACTTCTCACACCATTCCTTTATTCCAAAACCAATATAACACAATATATATTCACATATATCTATAGTGAAAGAAAATAAAAGCACCACCAATTGTACCAACAACCACCATTGGAAAAGGTCATCTTCACTGCAGAGGTACATACATTATCACCGTCTCTCCATATCTGTAACCTTCCTTAGCCATGCCATTGCTTATTATACAAATTTGATTCTATACATAACTTTATGTACCTAGCTTCCCCCCCTCCCCCCTACCCCCGAAGAAAGTTAGATAAACACCCACTAGTAATCAATCAAGAAAAATAACATCCATTGACCGGGTGTTCTACTTAATTCCATCCAGGTGATGTTTAGGGTACTGATGATTGTGATTTGGTACATGGGTCAAGAATTAGGGATTGTTGATTTGGACCCACCATTTTGTTTCTAGCCATAAATCATAATTAGTCTAGATTTCAGTCGAGGCACGTACCTGTTTAACGCATTGATGATCTGTGTGACACCGTTGATTTTGGTAGTCAAATAATTTTACCGTAATACAGATAATTTAGGGTTCTTATTTGTTGCTATTTCTTTTTGGGGGTTCTTAAAGCTGTAATGACTGCAATTGGTCATGCAATAGTAGCTGCGATTTTGATTATAGTGGTGTACAAGCTGAGCTGACTATTAAAGTCGTAATCTTGTGGAGAATTGTCATGGAAGGGTCTGTCTTTTTAAACAACTATTTTCCAATTACTTATCTATGTCAGATCAGGCCTGTTTTCTGGGGCTCTTCGAGTATAAGATAGATTTCATGAAGATTGAAATGATAGAGTTGGCTTATCGTATATCTTTAGCTTGGTTTGGTAAACAGGTTTTTTCATGTTAAAATGTTTAGAGGTTAAACATCAAACCTATTTTTGGATTTTCCAAATTCTTTTATTTTTGGGTTTTCAAATGTCTATTGTTTTTGAATTTTTCTTGTAGAAAATAAATCAAAATAAACAAAGAAAAATATATGCATTCGTTTTAGGATTTATAATAATTATTTTATTTGTTCTTTTATTTGTTTATTGCACGTTTATGCATATTTTTCTTTTTATTTGTTTATTTGAAAAATACAAAAATATTAGAAAAGAAAAAGCAAAACAATTTTCTTTTGTTTATTTTTCTTTGTTATTGATCATAGTAATTCACACTTTGGTTTGTATCATAATGATTTCATCCTTAAATCAAAGTTGAAATGTACATTACTGAGTCAGGATAGAGAACTTATTTATAATATATTGACTAATTGGCTATAAGTGATAAAGTTAGAAATTTTACAGGAATGTAGTACCGTTTTACTCATTTTAACGACAATATAAAATATAAGATCCTTTCTTTATTGATGGATTTCATTTTTTTCATGGTTTGGCAGGTCCCAGGGGGTAATTTGTAGTATAATGGACAACTGACATGATTTTTGGAAATTGTTGATGGGCAGATTCTTTTAAATTTTTGAAGTGACAATCATTTTGGAATATAATACATAGCATCTGATGTTACATGGAAATGCAAATGTCATGGAGGGGCAATTATTGAATTCAAAAAAGTAAAGTGATCCATTCATTTAGGTTAAACAGGTAGTTTTTCTGGTCAAAATAATAAAGGAAATTTAACAAGCATTTTAACCATTTCCCTAACATTTATTTAATTTTTGTTTATTATTTGCGGTAGGCAAAAGACCCACAATGAGGTGCCAAAAAGGTTATAACTTTTATCCTTCCTTGCTGGAACCAGTTTTCAGCTCCAACTTATGTGGTTTCACCATACCACCTGATACTTAGGCAACTTTTCCTGTGCAAACTATGTATATCCTCCTTTTTACAATGCACTGATGCAGTTATGGTCTTTTAAAACTCGGTAATTGGTAATGTGTACTCTTAGATTAGTTTATCTACCTTCTGTTGGATTTTTCTGCTTTCAGATATTTTAAGATTTAGTTGTACCAGACTGGTTGCAGCACTGGTTCGGTATTCTTGTTAAATTAAAGTATGTATGAAATTTCTGGAGATATATGTAAATATACTTTGAGATGTCCTAGCTTTGAAATTGACAGGCATGTGCACAATTTAGGATTGCAGATGTACTGATGATATTCATTAACTGCAAAATATTGGGACAATTGCTGGGTATAAACAGAAAGCTCTATCATGTTATTAGGATTTAATTTTAGAAACTTGAATAGATGATATGGGTCAGGGATTGCAATTCATGCCAGGCAATACAAGAAGCGTAGATTACTGTGAAAGGTATTATCTATAAATATTATTTTCACTTTGTCTTTCCTAATTCCTTTTCTTCTTTTTATGGTTCTTGACATTTTCCCAGTTACTGCATTGTGCATCGTAATATATGTCACATGTTTGATTGCAAGGACTATTGGCCTGTTTTGTAGACCTTATAGTTTATGAGATCAAGAAGAAATGGAGTCTTTTGTGTAGGTTCAATGAAGTTATGAGCAACTTACAGCTTAAAAGTGCTATAATTGGTAAGCAGGATGGGGGATACCTTTTTTTCACTAGCTAATTATGATACTTTCCCAAAATATGATATTATCGCAATGCCAAGCAGGATGGGGTTACAATAATCATTTATGCATCAACAAGTACCTTTTTAGCTTATTTTACCAATGGACACCCCTTACTAATGACTGATATATTGCAGTACCAAATAGTTTACAACTTAAATCGATAATCTGGTTTTCAAGAGCTGCTGCCCATAATCACACAGATTTTCTTAAGCACTACAAAACACACCCTGTAAAATGTAAGTACTTGTGCTTTTCTGAGCTCTGAAATCGTTAGCACAATCTGGCATCACGACTGGCAAATAACAAGCCATTACTTGGTTTGATCAGGCTTACTCAGGATAGGGGGCAGAGTAGAATTGATATAAATATAAGCTCTGGCACCTTTGTCATTTATTTGCACAAAGTGACTTCTTTTAACCTTGAACCAAGTCCTTGTGCTTTTCAGCTAGGCATTTCACCCCGTGCTCTCTGAATTTACTTTTTAGTCTTTGCCATGATCATCAAAAGAAAACTGGAAAAAAACCTGTCATGGGTCATGCTATGGATATTTTTCCTCTGATTGTTCATGATTGTACAAAGGTTATGTCTAAATGGTGACCTGTGTTGTAGCTGTATAGAACCATGATTATACAAAGGTTACATGCAAATGGTTCCCTGTTTTACAGCTGTATAGGATCTCGGGTTGCATTGGTTCATAAGTTTCCTGATCCATGAGCTTCTCTCTCTCTCTCTGGGTTTGCAAAAATTGCAATGTGCATGCATGAGAATTCGCTCATACATAACTGATACTGATCGCTTTGTTATTTCACTTTGTGCTAGAGAAATGCCTATGCTTCTATATATAGGTTTATTCTTAACTGATGCATTTTGGTTTGTTTTTGACTTATACACCTCTGACTCTTCCATGTGGTGTAGCTTTGTTTAAACAGGGGGAATGAGTGGGATGTAAATGGTTAGATAATATATGGCATTACGGATTCTCATGTGGAATGATGGAGGTGCTTCCTTGTTCTGGCAAAAATTATGTAGGAGAATCTGATTGTCCACAACAGCGTTCAGAAACAGGTTATATGTATGCTGGAAAATCAAACTGCCTTGGACATGAAGAACAAGTTCAAATGGCAGATATTAAGGTGGATGACTTAATGATTGATGTAGAAGGGCCTCAGGGAGAAAGACAGGGTGGAGGCCAATTGACAGTTGATGAATTCCCAACTTCAGAAAGCCATTATAATGGAGATCCTTATGATGTTTCTCAGATGGATGGCCAAAAATCTTCTAGTGATTTCCATGACTCTGAAGATGATACCTTCGATGCCCAGGATAACAGTACAGGACCTGGTGTGGCCCCCGATAACTCTCCGATAATTGTAGATACTATTGAAAGCGGTCTGCAAAGTAACATGAGGGAGGGAGAATCTTTTATTTCAGAACTTAAGTGGTTAGAACAAGATGAACCCATGGCAGTGTGGGTCAAGGTATGTGCCTGTGTTATTTTCTAGCACTTCAAAGTGTTTTTTCAATAAGAAAAAGTTTCACTGTTGTAAACATATAGAGCCATGTAGTCTTAACTTGTTCATGTATTGGTAATTCAATTGTTAGTATACTGTTCTCGGTGTGATTGCCTATTTGATTTGATTGTTATCTTTGTTGAATTTTCACACAAGGATAGGATACTGTCACATGACTCACATCATCGTCCTCACCTATATAAATGTGCTGTTATGCACCAATTATTTGTTATTTTTTGTCCACATTTTAAGGGTTATCGTTTGTTAATCTTGTTGCTTTTAACATTTTAACTTGATTCGATCTAATTCTTTATGCAAATTATATGAAAATGTATGCTGATTTTGTTTGAGTTTTATTTTTCTGTTCTTCCAATTATAGTGGAGAGGAAAATGGCAAGCAGGAATCAGATGCGCTAGGGTTGACTGGCCATTATCAACTTTGAAAGCGAAGCCAACTCATGACCGGAAACAATATCTTGTGATATTTTTTCCACGCACAAGGAATTATTCCTGGGCTGATGTGCTACTTGTTCGTCCGATCAGTGACATTCCACAACCCATTGCATATGGGACACACAAAGTTGGAGTTAAAATGGTTAAAGATTTGACGCTTGCCCGTCGGTTTATCTTGCAAAAGCTTTCTGTCAGCATGTTGAATATTATTGATCAATTACGTAGTGAGGTTTGAGATAGGCCTCAATTTGTTTTCCTTTTTTTGTAATTTTATTTAGTTTCAGTTTACTTCAGTCTTCAGTTCATATTTGTTTTTGATTGATATGCTTTTAATTTATTTAGGCTTTGATAGAGACTGCTCGCAACGTGATGATCTGGAAGGAATTTGCTATGGAGGCTTCCCGATGTAAAGGCTATTCTGATCTTGGAAGGATGCTTGTGAAACTTCAGAATGTAAAGTCTCTCCTCTTGGTAGATAGGAACAAAATTACAAAGTTGTGTTCTCCCCACCCCTTTTTTCCCCTTCCCCCTTTTTCCAACTTTTTTTCCAATTATATTCGTTATAGTTTATTTAATGTTGTTATATATGCAAATCGTGTATTGGTCTCGAAACCATGGTTCAAGGTTTTGGAATTGGGCATTAACTTGGAGTGCACTAAGGCATATTGGTCATGACATCCCAGGAAAAAAAATGATACACAAAAAATGTAGAAAAAGAATTTGAAAATGTTGGGAGATTTAGGGCATATCGCAGTATGACAGAAGGTGATAATGAATCGGATGACGTGGATCGAGTCACATGAGACTCTTGGTTTACAAAACATGAAATAGTATGGATTGGAAACTGTCTAGTATGGTATGTCTTGGCTGAATTGTGTTCGTATCCATTGATATTTTGAACCATGCACGTAAGGCAATGTGTCGAATCGGATACGAGTTGGTCGAGTCTTGTTTGTCTCAGTTGATACTTTGAACCTTATGCATTACAAATAATGTACTGAACTTCATCGATCTTTTTATAGGAATTTAATCGTTTCAAGGTCACATTACCAACCATTGACTTATAGGGCACAAAGAGGCATCATTCGTGATATTGTGGAAATGTATTGGGTGATCCACACAAAATGCAGGATAGGCAATATCACTGTGTCACAAAACAATATTGGCTAATCCGTTGCAATTCAACGACATTGACTTGGATGACTTGCCAAGTTGTCTTTGAGGTCTCTGAGTCAACCATGTGTCCAAGTGAGACTCATGGTTTACAATAAATGTGTATTGGTCTTAGAACAAGAGGTCAACAAATTGGTTCAGTAGCACGAGACTTTTGCGATTGCAAAGTCTGGTTAGGGCCAGATGTATGCACATTTTCCCCACATGCTGAGAGCATGTTTCCGCTTGGATCAAAAGGCACCATTATTAGCTGATGCTTTGAAGCATGGATATAACTTCAATTTCTATTGAGGTAGCAGAATTGGGAAAACTTGTTTCTGGCCTAAGGACTAGGAAAAGGCCAAATAGAATGGCATTGGTCTGTATGGTAATGCTTAATTCTAAATGGATGTGAAGCCAGATTTTAGACAATCACAAGGCACATGGAATATTACTGTGTTTACAACTTGTGGCTTACTCGTTATGTTTGATATTTACAGCAAACTTTCTGAAACCTATCTGCAAATTCTGACTTTTAAGTGTCTGATTTTGAATGTGGTAGGTTATTGGAAGTTTGACATGATGTGATGTTTAAGAAGTCAAACCTATAAACATAAGTTCCATATTTGGAACAAGAACTGTATATTACAGTGCACATGGTTTTTATAAACACACATGGGTCTATAACATGCTGGCTGACTCGGTTTTTATCTGACTCCAAAATAATGAAATCATAAGGGCTTGTTGATTTGAGGCAGTTAACATTATCATAACAAAAAGTTGAGGATTTTGATTATTTTTTCAGTTTAAATTTATAGACATACATTGATATGTGATACTATTTTTTTATATTAAATTATGCTGCTTGTCATTTAACTCAGGCTTTTCTTTATGTAACATTTAATGCATTGGATTTTACTTACCACCAGAAAAGGAAAAAAAAATGTACTAGAATGAAAGGTGGCCATTGGATTTATTTGCTAATTTGATGTTTCTACTTTTATTTCTTTACATTTACATTGGACCTGGGGCTTTTACCCCGTTTTCCTATGTGAATTCCACTTCTTTACAGGATTGAGACAGTTAGTTGAATTATCTGATATCTTTGTGTAATCTGCTGAAACATGAAATTTAACCATGAGGCCATATGTTTAGTTGCATTCTATTGGTTGGAGATTAAAAGATCTGACCTTGAACCCATCCTTTGCTCTTCTATATGGTTGTACTCCTCCAGTGATCTCTGCAACCAGTAACAACCACAAAAGGGTGCCCCCCTGTATTGCTGATTAACGCATCTTCTGATGATAATCAGGCATAATAGTTTAACTCCAGCTGTGTTGGTAAATAGCTATTTTGAGGTTGCATAATTTGGCATCTTGTGACACCTAATCATGCGTCTGTTTCCTTATTATGTAGTGGATGACGTGCCAAACCCCATTTTTTTTTAAGTGAAAAGAGAGGTTTCTAGGACTGATCTGTCTCTTCCTAAGATATCAATAAACTTTATTGCTGTTCTACAAGTTTTCCTTTCCTCAATCTGATGTAGCAACTATTCAGAAGTTGTACAGCTATTTGTAATTGTTTGTTCATGCGGTTCTGGGTGCAAACACAAGCAAAGGTTATTAGAAATCAAACTCAAACTAGGAAACCAAGAAACTATTGGCTGGAATATCATTTTCTTTATCCATGTGGTGCTATGTAGATTGGTTGGTGTTTTATGTGGGAATTCGTTGTTATGATCTCTCCAGGGTGGTAGGAAGTCCTTGGCTTCAATGTTTGCAGGCTTTGGTATCCCTAAATATTTTTTTTGACCATGGGCTACGGATATGTGCATTGGACTTCATGGAAATGCATGCAGTTTGTTATTTGAAAGGCCTTAAAATTCGTCAATCATTATAGTTCTCAATGAGACATAACAAAAATAGTATGCGAGGGACATGTTGTTGGGTGTTTGATGAACCAATATTTGGATTTCCGGCATTAGAATCGTAGTCAAATGTTAAGTTCTACGAGGCATGCTTATCTCACAAACTGCATATTACAATGTGCCTTTTTCTTAAAGACTTCTTTATTGGTTTATTATTATGTGTGCTGGCCATGATTATCTGATTCTGTGCTAAATGAAGCTATTTTTATATTTGCTTATAGCAACACTTCTTTCCTTCGCAGATGATACTGCTCTGCTATTTAAGTACACGTTGGCTGCAACATTCTTTGCAGTCTTGGGTACAACGATGTCAAAATGCAAATAGTGCTGAATTCATTGAAATGCTGAAGGAGGTATTCCCCCAACACGGGCTGTCTATTTATGTACTATTATGAAATCAACAGTGATGTATAGTGGTCTCTCCCCGAAATTTCTTTTGTTTTTGATATTTAATATTACACGTTGAGAGTCCTTTTCTTAGTTTTCTTCTGTGGTTTTCTTTGGGGCAGGGGGAGTTTTGCCATCAGTCACCATCACTGCCATTTTCACTGCCACTGTAAATGCGACCCCCTGAGACTACAAACACCATTGTAGCATCAACTCCCATCACTATCAATCCATTGTCACCTAACCGTCACCTAACCATCATCATCACCTACCAGTTTCCTTTTAATTTTCAAGTCTAATGGAGTTTAGCTGTGCTTTTTCTCGACAAAATTCTACTTATACAGCTCCAAGTCTCAAATGTCACCCAAACTGTGTGCCTAATTGAGATAAAAAAGCTCCTAGACTTTGATTGTTGTCACCAGCTTGATCCTGATGTTTTGGTCCATTAAATCATTTTTGGGATACTTGCATTGTTGATTAATGCCAATTTACTCTTTTGCAAAAAAGAAAGGAGGACTCTGAATGGTACTTGACGCATTCATCAGTTACTTACCATTGTTGAGTTGTCTTAATTGATGTGGATGAATATAATTTTATGCACTTAATAGTTAATAACGACAAAAGGTTTAATGTGTTTTAGATGAGGACCATATGGTAGCTAAAAAATAACAAGTAGCCTCTATATTTGGACTGATCTCGGAGCATGTTGAAGCATTAGGCAAATTGTAACTAGAAGCAACTCATGAGAGCACAGTTCCTCAGTCATGTAATTGGTGTGCTTGTGTGCTAAGTGGTCAATCTGTGGATGTCTGTCTAAATTGTAGTTACTATATGAAAATTTGGTGCATTGATTCTTGTAATTGGAACAGTTTTTGGCTACTTTTTAAGGGAGAAATAGGATGAAGATGCTACAACCTGGACCGATGACACTGACACGTATAGATGTTGAAAATATTGTACCTCATTTTTCCAATCACTTGCTGATGTGATTTCCTGTTCACATCAGGAACTAGTTGATTCTATCCTATGGAATGAAGTAAACTCACTCTCTGATGTAGCTGCGCAGCCCGAGTTTGGTTCTGAGTGGAAAACTTGGAAGCAAGATGTCATGAAATGCTTTTCAATGTCGCATCAGATATCTAATGATGGAGGTGTGGAGCAGCAAGGTAATAATGATACTCCCTTGGCCATGGGGTTTCAAGTTAGTCGAAAGAGGCCCAAGCTTGAGGTCCGTCGTGCTGAGGCATATTCATCGCAGGTGGAAATCCAGGGTTCACATCAAGCTATTGCTGTTGAAATCGACTCTGGATTTTTTGAAGGCTCAGACACTGTAAATGTTGCTACATTAGCATCTGAGCGTTCAAGAAATGAAATTCTTTTGGAGGGAGCTGCACCAACAGAATCACCTGGTATTGAGGCTGATAGGTGGGGTGAGATTGTGGTTGAAGCTGGAAATTCTGATGTCCTCCGAGGTAAAGATGTGGAATCGACTCCTTCCAATGGTGTGGTTGCTAGGAAGTCTTTGGATCCTGGGAATAAGAATCGCCAATGTATAGCTTTTATTGAAGCTAAGGGAAGGCAGTGTGTGAGGTGGGCAAATGATGGTGACGTTTACTGTTGTATACATTTGGCCTCTCGTTTTGTGGGAAACTCAGCAAAAGCTGAAGCAATTCCCCCTGTTGATGCACCTATGTGTGAAGGTACCACCGTTCTTGGAACCAAATGCAAGCATCGGTCTCTTCATGGTTCTTCTTTCTGCAAGAAGCATAGACCCCGAGATGATATAAGAATGACTTTGAGTTCACCTGATGATAAAGTGAAGAGAAAGCTTGGGGAGAGTATAGAAAGATCAGAGACCACTTATTGCAAAGAAATTGTATTGGCAGGAGAAGGTGAAACTCCTCTCCAAGTGGATCCAATCTCTTTCATGCATGGAGAAGCCTTTAATGGAAGCAGGTTGATTGAGATACCTGAGCAGTCTGGAAAAGAGTATAGTGGCACTGAGACGGTGCAGTGCGTAGGTTCAGACCCCCACGATGGCTGTGGTCCTTGTCTGGAAAATCCAAAGCGGCACTCATTGTACTGTGAAAAACACCTACCAAGCTGGCTTAAACGTGCAAGGAATGGTAAGAGTAGGATAATTTCTAAGGAAGTGTTTTTAGAACTTCTGAGAGATTGTTACTCAAGGGAGCAAAGAGTGCACTTACACCAAGCTTGTGAGCTTTTCTACAGGCTCTTTAAAAGTATCCTCTCCTTGAGAAACCCAGTGCCTAAGGAAGTTCAATTCCAGTGGGCCATATCTGAAGCTTCCAAAGATGTTGGTGTCGGGGAATTCTTAACGAAGTTGGTTTGCAGTGAAAAAGAGAGACTCAAGAGGCTTTGGGGGTTTAATCCTGCCAAAGATACGCAAGCTTCCTCCTTTGTTGAAGAACCTATTGTGATCCCAATGGTTAATAATGGTGACAATGACAATGAAAACGTGATTAAGTGCAAAATGTGCTCAGAGAAGTTTCTTGACGACCAAGCACTTGGCACACACTGGATGGGCACTCATAAAAAAGAAGCACAATGGCTATTCAGAGGTTATGTTTGTGCAATCTGCTTGGATTCCTTTACGAACAAGAAAGTTCTGGAAACGCATGTGCAAGAGAGACACCGTGTGCAATTTGTTGAACAATGCATGCTTTTCCAGTGTATTCCTTGTGGTAGCCATTTTGGAAATCCAGAGCAGCTATGGTTACATGTGCTGTCAGTGCATCCTGCCAATTTCAGGCTGTCAAATGCTGCTCAACAGCATAATCTCTCTGTAGGTCAAGATTCTTGGCTGAAACTTGAGCCAAGCAACTCGGTTTCGGCAGAAAATATCAACTCTGAGAATCAAGGTGGTGCTAGGAAGTTCATTTGCAGGTTTTGTGGTTTGAAGTTTGATTTGCTACCTGATCTTGGCCGCCACCATCAGGCTGCTCATATGGGTCCACATTCTGTTGGTCCTCGCCTCCCAAAGAGGGGCATTCATTTTTATGCTCATAAATTAAAATCAGGAAGACTGACCCGTCCTAGGTTTAACAAATCTCTTGGAGCAGCTTCGTATAGGATTCGGAACAGGGTTGCTGCAAGTATGAAGAAACGCATTGAAGCATCAGATCCACTTAACACTGTTGAAGTGAAGGTGCAATCTCATGCGACTGAGGCAGCTAATCTTGGTAGATTGGCAGAATCTCAATGCTCAGCTGTTGCAAAGATATTGTTTTCTGAGATTAAGAAAACCAGACCCCGGCCAAGTCACCCCGACATTTTGTCAGTAGCTCGCTCTGCTTGCTGCAAGGTTAACCTACAAGCCTCATTGGATGAAAAATATGGAGTTTTGCCAGAACGTATATACCTGAAAGCAGCCAAACTCTGCAGTGAGCATAATATTCTAGTGGACTGGCACCAAGAGGGGTTTGTTTGTCCTAAAGGATGTAAACCAATTGTCAAGCAACAACTGGTGTCCCCGTTGATGCCTCTTTCAGATGGTGCAATGAGGCCCAGAACTGAGCTTCTGTTGGATCCGGGGACGAATGAGTGGGTAATGGATGAGTGCCACTATGTTATTGACTCTCATCACTTTAGACTGGAATCTATAGATAGAGGCATTATCCTGTGTGATGACATAAGCTTTGGACAGGAATCAGTTCCTATAACATGTCTAGTGGATGAAAATCTTTTGGGTTCCCTTTATATCCTTGCAGATGGTTCTGATGGCCAAACTACTGCATGGTCTATGCCTTGGGAGAGCTTTACCTATGTCATGAAGCCAGTGCTTGATCAATCTCTTGGTGAAGCAGAGGTGCTGTCATGTGGCTTATTAGTATTTATTTTAATATGTTTTAGTTACCAACTTTGTATCAACGTGGAATGCGCATGGACATATCACCCAACCCCCAGCAATTATGCGCAACTTTTCAATTGATAACCCCCCCCCCCCCCCCCCCCCACAAGGAAAAAAAAGAAGGAAAAAAGGTGCATGCAGACACTAATTTCTTGTTCTCTTTCTCTCCCTCCCACACGCAGACAGACAATGTCCATTTAGAAGACACACACTGCCAATGTATGCATTGAAAGAAAAGCTGGGTACCTCTTTGGCCTCTTATCACTGCTGCCCCAAGTTGAGGATTTGAAATAACTTTCAGTAGGGCATAATTTTCAATTAGATTTTGTCACGACAATGCACATATTTTGGCTAAGTATGCTGCTAGGTGTTTCATTTTTGCAGACAAAAGCCATTATACTCCAAGATCTGTCATACAAAATTTGGACAGTTAATGTTGTTACATTGTTGGTTTCCTGCATTATTATAGTCTCAAGTTCAATGCAAATACAAGAAAGATAACATTCTATTTCTTTCCTTCTCTCTCTCTGCAGAGCTTGCAGTTTGGGTGTGCTTGTGCGCATTCAACTTGCTCATCTCAAACCTGCGATCATGTGTACCTTTTTGATAATGATTATGAAGATGCGAAGGATATATTTGGCAACCCCATGCATGGCAGGTTCCCATATGATGAGAAGGGTCGGATCATATTAGAGGTAAGTTGTTTTCCACTTTCCACCAAGCTAAATCACTGTGTTTGATGATTTTGCTTTATCTTCTTTCTAATCAGGTATTTTTTTCTTTGCAAAAAAAAAAAAAAAACTGTTCTCTTTGCTGCAAGAAGTTTAGTCTTTTTCTTCTGCTTTATTTGTTTTCCTTTCTCCTCCTTACTCCCATTCATTACAATTAGGCACATTTAGAAAACAGATATTGCTTATTGGCCCATATTTTTGTTGAGTTGGACAAATACTACTTTCTGCACTTTTGCTCTTAAGTTCATATCATAAATTCCACCAAACAGAAACATGCGAGGAGGCATTTCTGCACTTTTACTTTTTTAAGGCAAAGCATGTGATGGAATGACAAATCACACTACCATTATTGTTGGTCATAAGACCAATGGGATCTACACATCATACCTTGTGTTTGGAACTCCTACCTGCTATATAGCAGGGGACCTGTTTTATTCCCGTTACTGGTGGATAGTGTTTTTATGGGTGAAGACTATAAGGCACCTGACTTTTGTTACTGAATTTTGCAGGAAGGTTACTTAGTTTATGAGTGCAATCAAAGGTGCAGCTGCAGTAGAACCTGCCAGAATAGGGTTTTGCAGAATGGGGTACGAGTGAAATTGGAAGTATTCAAAACTGAGAAAAAGGTAACACTTACTGTTTATGCATGATTTTAAAAAGTACTTGCTAACTGCTTGCCATGTTGATTCACAGGGTTGGGCCGTGAGGGCAGGGGAAGCAATCCTGCGTGGTACATTTGTTTGTGAGTACATTGGGGAGGTTATAGATGAGCAGGAAGCAAACAAGAGGCGCAACAGGTCTGACATTCTGTCCGAAACAGTATTTTGTCTTCACTTTTGCTTTTACAATATTTCATTTTACGGGATTCTTCAAGGGCGCTTTTGGACTATCAGGTATGGCAGAGAAGCTGGCTGGTATTTCTATGAAATTGATGGTCACATAAATGACATGAGCAGATTGATTGAGGGGCAGGTCCCCTATGTAATTGATGCCACAAATTATGGAAATGTTTCACGGTATATCAATCACAGGTGAGGGAAGAGTTTTTTAGTCTTACAATTTAATGTGCTTTGCTTCAGAAAACTTTTTCCTTGTAGCTTGGCCACCTATGCTTCCTTTTGGAAGTCATTTGAGGCCATCTGTCATTCAAGACCAAGAAAAAAGTATATTTGATGCTCCAATTTGTGAAACTTTTTCAAAGAACTTAAGGATCTAAAAAACTTCCCTAGAAAATGTGAGCAGAGTCACCACCATCCAACATAACCATCTGCCGTCAGTTAATGAATTATGATTAAACCAGTCATTTTAATTCTCATAAGAATGAGTGGAGGTACAACTTGGGCTGAGGCTCATCATATTTTTTTTATTTAAGAGGGGGGGGGGCATATTGACAAATTAAGGATTCATAAATTGGGGAATTTTATTGGAGAAACTTGGAAAATAATTTCACAAATTCAGCTTTGCATCACAGTCTTTATAGGTTTTTGTTTTAATGCATGTAGAAAAATGATGTCTAATTATGAAATGGAAAGGCGTAATCCTGTGAGGGGGCAAGGTGGTCAAAAGGATGCTTTTTTGTGTAGTCTGTCCAGTGGAGATCCAATTTTTATTCTGCATTTTCCGCAGATTCGGCATAATGATTGCTGTAAAATTTACTCTCTATCTGTTAATGTTCTTAGTTGCTCGCCTAATCTTTTGAATCACCAAGTTCTGGTGGAAAGCATGGAATATCAGCTTGCACACATTGGTCTATATGCAAGTCGAGATGTGAGTATTTTTAGCCAATTCTTAATTGTTGATTTTATTTATGCTATAACACTTGCGGTGATAGAGGAGGGTCATTCCAATATAACCTATAACATGATATGACTGGATTTGAAAAGGTTTTATGTGTGAAACTGCTGGAGATCATCGTCATTCCTAACTTTGGATCCTTCTTGTTTTGTCCCTCGTCCTTTTTGATTCTTATGAGCAGATTGCTGTGGGTGAAGAACTGACATATGATTTTCGCTACACGCAACTGCCTGGAGAAGGATGTTCATGCCTTTGTGGAGCTTCCAATTGCAAGGGTCGCCTCTACTGAATCACTAACTAAAAACTTAGGTGTTTACCTTTTTCTGAAGTAAGTTGAGGGTGTTTCACAAAGTTTGACAGTGGGGGATGAGAAATTCGGAAACTGAGAAACATCTCTGAAAGAATCTGGAAGGTGAAGTACACGATCCCCTAATTGCTCTCAACAACTCTTCTGATCAGGGACGCTTGTTTGACAGGAGACGTCGCTCGAGCTGGCAATGTTTTTGGTAGGGTTTCTTCGCTGGCACGACTCATTTGACTCCCAGCTACTTATCTGCAATGCTTGTGCGATTTTCTCTTCAATAGGTTGTATTTATGCATTTCATTTCAGCCAAGTTACTTTTATGGAAAGGAGGATTAAACCTCGTTTTGATTGTTATTTTTGAGTTGATTTCTAATCGATTTAGTTTGCTCTTGCTTGACAACGTCACATGTAGGTTCTTGGGTAGTGTTGTTCTAAAAAATATTGATCTTCATAGCTTTCCTCGTCATTTATGCATGTGAACATGAGATCTATTTTTTTTTTTGCTTATTGTACTACTTGGTCGAATTATTCGTGTTTAATCTTAATCTGATTTATTTATTTATTATTTGTGTCATTTTTGAATTTCATTGTCCTGTGTCGTGTTCATCATATAAATAGGTAAAATTGACAGACATTCCTAAGGGTATTATCATTGGAGAGGACTATCTCTAAGACTAATGCTTTTTGTTTGGTACAATGGAAAAATAAAAGGATATAAATTTCTCTAAAATTGGGAGGAAAATAGATAGAAAATTAATTTTGTGTGTGTTGAAATGTATATTATTTGTTATATATCCTTGAATATATAATGTTAAAATATGTGTCAATAAAATATAATGGTAAAATTTGTTATTGTATTTATCAATTAAATATTATGTATACATTAATTTTATATATAAATATAATGATAAAATATGTATTTATATTTTTTTTTAGAAAATAAAAAGTATAAAATATAAAAAAAATAAAAATATTTTTTCCATCTAACCAAATACAAAAAAATTAATTATTATTATTATTTTCCATCCTTCTTACCAAACACAAAAGAAGAAAAAAATGATTCTTTCCTTGAATGATGAAGTGTCACTCTCATTTTTTATCCATCTAATTTTTCATCTACCCTACTAAATTGACTATAAATCACGTATAAACTATAGATTGTAATTGACTATAGATTGTAATTTAGATCAAGAATAAACATTTTTCCCAAGTGCATTTTCCTCAAAATATAAACCACTATGATATTACATTAAAGAAATTACTAAGCAGACATTTTATGCTGCATATGTTCTTATTCAAAACAGACTAATAACCAAAATCTCTAGCTGAAACTTTGATTTCATGAAATGCTGTTTGATAATTCCCATGGGAGTGAAGCAGCAAGGGTTCTTGACATAGCCTGCACATTCTCCTCCATGCCTGGGCGATCCGATGGATCTTTCTTTATGCAACTGTCGATCACTCTGACCACAAAAATGGCAAGCTCCACTGGATAATTACCCTGTAAACAAGGATCCATGAAGTTTTTCAGATTCTCCCTTCCATCATCCTCATGAATCACAGAGAATAAGACCCCTGCATCAAGAAGATTAATTTCTTTCCCACTGAGTATCTCCATCAGGAGGACCCCGAATGCATACACATCAAGCTTTGGAGAGACCAATCCATTCTCCAAATACTCAGGAGCCATGTGACCTTTGGTCCCTACTATGTGCTTTGTCAAGACAAATTCACCTTCCTTCCCATCTGCTGACCTTGCTAGATTAAAGTTCGTGATTTTTGCCCTGAAATCGCCATCAAGAAGGACATTACTGCTCTTTAGATCCTTGTGGACATAAGGAGGAGAAGCGTAGCTATGGAGATAATTAATCCCCGTGGCAACATCCAAGGCAATCCGTATTCTCTGTATCCAATTCAAGAACTTTTGATCGCCATTCTTGTAATAGAGCCAGTCATCCAAGGATCCATTGACAGCATACTCATAAACAAGGTACCAATTCCCATCATTGAAACAAACGCCCGAGAGGCGAATAACATTGAAATGGTTGATTTTGCTTAGCAAATTGATTTCATTAGACACATCTCCATTCATTTTCTTAATGGCTGCAAAATCGCCATTGATCGTGCCACGATAAATGGAACCCTTGATGCAACAACTGGGGCTGAAATTATCTGTTGAAGATTGTAGTTCTTCAAAAGTGTACACTTTAAGGTTTTGGGCTATACTGTGTATACCCTCCAAGAAGAACTCCTCTGGCTTTTCCTCCACCTTTGTCTTATTTGGTGTCTCATGTGCCTCAAAGACCTCTGAATCAACAATTGGGTCACTTTTCTTCTTCTTTTTATGAAAGAACAAGCAAAAGACAATGGCCCCAAGGACCACTGCAAGGGAAAACCCTCCAAGAGCTCCAACTGCAACATATATCCATTCCTTGCTTGAACTATTATTCGATGAACGGACTAATGGTGGAGGTGGTCGCGGTGGTGGTCGTGGAGGCGGTGGTGGCACTTTCATGGATTGGTTACTTGGTGGGTTTTGTAGAGGAATTAGAAGGGTGGTGAAGGGATATATTGTGAAGTCTTCTTCTGAAAGCCCATTGGCTTCAAGAGTACTCCCAGTATCCACTCCAACTTGTGCACTTACGACTGAGACAGATTGGCCAGTAGTGACTAAATAACTCAATAAATACCTTACACCAACATCACTTTGGTTCTTTGTTGGACAAGCACACCTAAGAGGAACATTAATTCTTGTGCCTGCATAAAAATTCTTAGCAGGGTTTTCAGCCCGGATGGCTTGACAAGTTGAGAGGCCTTGAAAGGTGTTATTTGCAGTCAATAAATAAGTATCACCATCCTCAATAACATAAGAAATGTTTGCTTGATAGTACACACCTGAACAAGAACAGTTGACAGGAACAATCACCATCCTGTTCGTCTGAAGAGTTTGATTCTGATCAGGAAGAGAATTGAGCCGAGAAAGTTGTGATGGGTCGGCTCCAAGGAGAGCAGAGATGGAGGAGAGAGTGTTGTGTGGGGGTTGAGATCTGAAGGTGAGGTAAGCTTGGCAACTTTGGCTTATGCCATTGCAGCTATACCCAAGAACAGAATCTAAAGTATAGTTCTTGCATCGTGTGGTGGCCTTTCTGATGTAAGGCTGCTGGGCATTAATCAATGAAGAACAAGAGATTAGAAAGATATACAAGAGAGAGATGAGAGACAAACAGGACATGTTAGTTCAAGGAGAGAGACTGTGGGTGATGGTTTTTCTGAGGATGGAAGCAAAAGGGTTTATTTCAGATCTGAGAGAGAGAGATCTGAGGTGTTCTGAGCAAGTCTGTGGGAGGAGACCCCTGTGGGAGATGGAACAAGTGATTTTCAGAGAAGTCAAATTCTGCAAACATGCTTTAAAAAAGGCATATAAAGTGAAATTTCCCAGAAAAAGACAGAGACTGGAATAGTTATCTGCCTGGCTTAGTGCTTTCATTTTCATTTACAGAAGCTGGAATTCCTTGAAGAAAAAGGAAATTTGAGCCACTAGCAAAGTAATGGAAAAGACAGTTAGTGTCATTTTGGAAAAGAAAACACTAGCAATTGCAGTGGAAGGAACAGATTGTAATTTAGATCAATCATAAACATTTTTCCTAAGTGCACTGTTTCTCAAAATATAAACCCTCTGATATTACATGAAGAAATTATACAAATATTTTACTGTATACGTTCTTATTCAAAACACTAATCACCAGAATGTCATCAGAGTTAATATACATGTAATGAATCAAGGCCCAAAAAAGGGGCTAAACAGAACATAAAAAATCTGATACCAAAATCTCTAGCTGAATCTTTGATTTCATGAAATGCTGACTGATAATTCCCATGATAGTGAAGAAGACAGAGTTCTTGACAGAGACTGCACGATCTCATCCATGCCTGGGCGATCCGATGGATCGGTCTTTATGCAACTATCAATTAATCTGACCACAAAAATGGCAAGCTCCACAGGATAATTACTTTGAAAACAAGGATCCATGAAGTTACTCAGATTCTCCCTTCCATCTTTCTCATTAATCACAGAGAATAAGACCTCTTCATACTGAAGATTAATTTCTTTCCCAGTAAGTATCTCCATCAGGAGGACCCCAAATGCATAAACATCAAGCTTTGGGGAGACCAATCCATTCTCCAAATACTCAGGAGCCATGTAACCTTTGGTCCCTACTATGTGCTTTGTCAAGGCAAATTCACCTTCCTTCCCATCTGCTGACCTTGCTAGATTAAAGTTCGTGATTTTTGCCCTGAAATCGCCATCAAGAAGGACATTACTGCTCTTTAGATCCTTGTGGACATAAGGAGGAGAAGCGTAGCTATGGAGATAATTAATCCCCGTGGCAACATCCAAGGCAATCTGTATTCTCTGTATCCAATTCAAGAACTTTTGATCGCCATTCTTGTAATAGAGCCAGTCACTCAAGGGTCCATTGACAGCATACTCATAAACAAGGTACCAATTCCCATCATTGAAACAAACGCCCGAGAGGCGAATAAGATTTAAATGGTTTATTTTGTCGAGTATATTTATTTCCTTCGACACATCTCCATTCATTTTCTTAATGGCAGCAAAATCCCCATTGATCGTGCCACGATATACTGAACCCTTGATCCAACAAGTGGGACTGAAATTATCTGTTGCAGATTGTAGTTCTTCAAAAGTGTACACTTTGAGGGATTGAGCTATACTGTGTATACCCTCCAAGAAGAACTCCTCTGGCTTTTCCTCCACCTTTGTCTTATTTGGTTTCTCATGTGCCTCAAAGACCTCTGAATCAACAATTGGGTCACTTTTCTTCTTTTTACGAAAGAAAAAGCAAAAGATAATGGCCCCAATGACCACAGCAAGGGAAACCCCTCCAAGAACTCCAGCTACAACATAAATCCATGTCTTGTTCGAGCTATTATTCGATGAAGGGACTGATGGCGGTGGTGGCGGCGGAGGTGGTGGTGTTGGTGGCACTTCTGCGGATAGATTACTTGTAGGTGGGTTTTGGAGAGGAACTAGAAGGGTGGTGAAGGGATATATATTGAAGTCTTGTTCTGAAAGCTCATTGGCTTCAAGAGTGCTCTCAGTAGACACCCCAAACTGTGAACTTATGATGGAGACAGATTGGCCAAAAGTGACTAAATAGCTCAACAAATACCTTACACCAACATCACTTTGGTTCTTTGTTGGACAAGCACACCTAAGAGGAACATTAATTCTAGCGCCTATAGCTAAATTATTAGCAGCAAAACTGTTTTGAGCCTGGAGGGCTTGACAAGTTGAGAGGCCTTGGAAGGTGTTATTTGCAATCAACAAATAAGAATCATCCTTCTTAATAACATAAGATGTGTTTGCTTGATAAAACTCGCCTGAACAAGAGCAGTTGACAGGAACAATCACCATCCTGTTTGTCTGAATAGTTTGATTCTGATCAGGAAGAGAATTAAGCTGAGAGAGCTGCGATGGATCAGCTCTCAGGAGAGCGGCGATGGAAGAGAGAGTGTTGTATGGGGGTTCAGATCTGAAGGTGAGGTAAGCTTGGCAACTTGTGTTTATGCCATTGCAGTTATACCCAAGAACAGAATCCCAAGTATAGTTGCTTTCGCATAGTGTGATGGACTTTCGGATGTAAGGCTGCTGGGCATTAATCAATGAAGAAGAAGAGAGAAAAAAGATTGAAAAGAAAGAGAGAAGAGGCAAACAAGCCATTTTGTGGGGGGTGATGGTAAGATTTATTTTGAGATCTGAGAGAGGGGTTTTCTGGACTAGGAGGTGGGAGATGGAAGAAGGTGATTTATAGAGAAGTCAAATTCTGCAAACATGCCTTAAAAATGCATATAAACAGAAGCAGCTAGGTTGACCAGTTCAATGATAGAAAGTTCTCTGTTTGGCTCACTTCCTTCATTTTCAAATTATTGCAACTGAACTTGACACGGCACCTATAATCAGAATCCGCAGTTTGACTGTAGAGTTTTCTTATGGGAAAAAAAGTAATGGAAAAGAAAATTTGTGTTCTTTCAAAAGGAAAGGATGTTTCGTGGAGTTTGTATGACGCTCTTCCTTCCAAACACCCACCAAAATCTTTTTTTTTTAGAACTGGAAATACCCACCAAACTCATTAGCAAAAAAGTTTGCTTAAACCTGGGGAAAGAAAGAGAGAACAAAGACGGCAAAGAAAGAGAGAAGAGGCAAACAATCCAATTTAGTTGAATGGGAGAGAGAGAGACTTTGATTTGATGATTTTGTGTGGATGAAATCTGAAAGGTTATTTCAGATCTGTGAGAGATTTTCTGAGCAAGGCTATCCTGTGGGAGATGGAAGTGGTAATTTATTTCTAATGGATATTTTAGTCGAGTCAAAAATGACTTACTTCTGATCGGGTGGAAGAGAAAATTAATCGAAGGATTCAAAACTTCGTTCGGTCTCATCCTGACCTTTGAAAAAAAAAATTGTCATTTTTTTATGTAGAGAAATTTTTCAAGCATGCCTTAAAAAATCCAGAAAGTGAGATTTCCCGGAAAAGATAGCGATGGAAAACTTGTACAGTAATGTTATGGTGATTAAATTTTGAGATTAAATTTAGAACTCAAATGATATGATATCATATTATTTAAAATTTTTATTAGGGTCCAAATGATATGACACTAAATAAAAAAATTCAAGCCAATTATCACGTCATTTAAACTCTAAATTTGATCCTAAAATTTAATCCGCGTAACTTTACTCAAACTTGTAAAGTTGACCAAGCTGTAAAGAAAGGTTGGGTATATGTGTTAGGTTGGGCCAATCAAAGCCCTTTAAAGCATTTGTTTAGGTCTTGCAACTGATCTTGACGAAGCACAAAACCATAATTATAAATCGTGTGTTTCACTTGCTGATAGGTTTTTTTTTAGTTAATTAGGCTAGAATTCCTCTATTAATGGGTAAATTAATTCTTATCGATTTTTTAGTATAATTTTTTTTTTGTTTTTGTAAAAATATTGTATGCGGTCCCTAGATCGGCAAAAGCATATAAAAGTTGGGTAATTAGTGTGTTTTCAATACCCATTTTACTCCCTATCACACACTTTCAGCCTCAAATACAATTGGTTTTTTTTTTTTGGAGTTTGTTATTGAATAATTTTTGGATTCTATCTATTGTTTTTGAATTTCAAATTTGATAATCCAACAATTTGACATATACTCGGTCGCCTATTAATCGCCGATTTGGTAGGTACAAAACGTAGATAAACAAATTTTATGTATTTCTTGGTAGGTGTAGGCATATTAACAATTTGTATTTTAGTGTACATGTATGACGATTATTATGTACCCATTATTTTTATGGAAAAGAAGATACATTAATGATCTGTGTTTTAGTGTACATGTCTAACAATCTGTGTTTTATTGTACTTACCTAACAATTATTACGTACCTGTTATTTTTTGGCTCAAAAGTATATATATATATATATATATATATATATATATATATATATATATATATATATATATATATATTTTATTTTATTTTTTTTTTAATTGTGTGCCTATTTTTTTTTAGCGTACATTTATTAAGTTCAAGATGTTAGATTGAATTTTTTAATTCGTAGGAAACCTAAAATTCAAAAAGGAAACATCTTAGCTGCCATGGATAGTATCTTTTTCCCTTAAAACTCTCAATTAGTGTTGATCATGGAGGAAAAGAAATCTTGCTTCAGTAGGAAAGAAATCCGCGTATGTTATTCATCGTATAGATACACAAAATTAAATTATCATAGGTATGTAAATTAAAAATTAAATATTATATTTTGTTCTTAAAAGGGAGATTACATATGTAGTTCATTTATTTTATATTTAAAAAAAATGAAAAAAGATCATTTTTCGAAGTCCTTTAACTCTGCCTCAAGCTTTTCGTTTTATACTTTTCCTTTTGCAGTTTTTTGTTGAAGGATTTCAACATTTTCTTCCGCTCATTTTTTTTTCTTTGTTGGACATGTAGAGTTTGAATTCAAGATGATTGATATCAACTTGTATATAATCTTGTTTTGCGTTGGCGTCGTCTAAAAAACCCGAAAGCATTTGTGTGTTAGTTTGTGTTCTTTACTATCTCGATTGTTTCATTTTTTTTTTTTTGTATTTTTTTTTTGAATTTTAGATACGCTATTTATAGAAGTATTTTCTATGGATAGATAAAGAGGTTTAAATATATGTTTATTATGGTGTTAATTTCGTAGTTAATCGAAGAGATATACTGAGTATAACAGCTAATAGTAAATGTGACTTAATGTATCTTCAAACTTCCGGTTAATGGGTATGTTAGTCAATAATAGGTCACTTTTTTTAATTTACCTATATGATGATTTGTGTTTTTTGGGAAGAAGGTACATAATGATGATATTATCGTTATTTTTTATATTTTAAATAGTTGTTAGTTATGACCATTGTTTTTGACTTTTCAACAAAATTTAATCCCAAAAAAAATTGACAGGTGAATATTTTTTTTGAAATCTTATTGAGCTCAGGGACCAATCTCCAAATTTTATTTTTTTTTTAACGAGGAAATATAAGGTCATTTTGGACACATTTCTGTAAAAATAAATATTGAGGGGTTGTTTGATAACATTTTTATTTTCGCGTCTTTAACAAATAAAAAACAGAGATCATTTTTGTCTCTATTTTGTAATAAACTTTAAAACAGAAAATATGTTTGATAATTACTTCAAGTTTTATCCTAAATATGTTTGGTATCTATTTGACAATTTAATCCCAAATAGTAATTCAACAATTCCAATGGCAATTTCATCAATTACAAGTGACAATTCAATCAATCCTAAATAACAATTCAACAATTCCAAATAATAATTCAATTAATACCAAATGACAATCGATCTCAAACACAACACACACAAAACACAATACACATGCACACACACACACATAATCAACACAACAAACGCATACACACACAAACTCATCACTCACACACACAGATTCGTCATTCACCCACACACAAATGCATAGATTTATGTATATATGCATAGATCTTCTGGGTTTCATAGAGAACGAGAGCGAGACAGAGAGAGAGCAATCATCGTCTGAGGTATTGATCTGAGTTCTTCGTTGTTTGTCATTTGAGTTCTTCGTTTGAGTTCGACAGAGAGAGATCGATTGAGTTCTTCGTCGTTTGTGAGAGTGAGACAAAGAGATCTGAGGTATTGATCTTCGTCGTTTGTGAGTTCTTTGTCATCTAAGGTATCGATCTTCGTCTGAGTTCGTCATCTGTGAGTGAGAGAGAAATAAGAAACCCTTTAAAGGGTTTTTATAGTAAACAAAAAAAAAACCTTCTTTTTGTTGCTAATGAGATTCAAATGGGAAATCTCATTAAATAGGCTATGAAGCTCACACGTGTTTTCAGAAAATATGTTTCCTAGAACATTTTTTTTTTGTCCCATTTTTTTGTCTTTGTTTCTAAGTCAATTAATATAAACACAAAAGTAAAAACAATACCTAAATATATTTTTGTTTTTATTTTTGACAAAAATTAAAAATAAAAATACAAAATACAAGATAAAGACAATAAACAAACAACTCCTGAATCATGGTAATCACTCGTCACTCATAGGTATTAATTTTATCAGTAAAAGTCGAATCCCTGATATTTGACTATACAGTTCATCAAAGTCTAATCTCATACTACATAACTATCGTCTTAATTTTGTTATTATTTTTTTTTTGGATCCGTTTGTTTAGTAAAATAATGATAAAAATATTAAAAAAAAAAATTAATTTTTATTCGTTTGTTTAGATTATCCGTATTCGTAGTCAAGGACCCCCTTGGAAAACTATTGGCTAAATGAGCACTTCACTTTATTCATTTTGAAAAGAAAACTCTTAAATAGCAGTCACAAGGAGCTCTGCAATATCCAACCGACTCCCTAGTCCATGAAGAAACCGCGTTATTAGAGACCAACGAGAATTTTCCAGGTCCGTTGTTGACCAAGATTAATAATAAATCTGGGCAGAGAGCCCGGATGTCAACCCATGGGTTGGCCCGAGCCTTCATTGAATGTCAGTAGTGAATAGAGATGTGGGCCAATTTGGCCCGATTGAGGCCCAGCAAGGCAGTCTGGCCCATCAGTTCGTGTAAACATGAAAATCACCCGGCACAAACATGAACAAAAAATAACCACCGAGCAGGGTGATTCAGTAAGGTACCGGTCAAATTTTTCACTTCGATTTTGGAAGTTAGAGTCTTGTAGTTTACATTAGAGTTCAGTGGTTAACTGTTATGTTAGCCTAACTAAGTTCGTTTCTAAGAAAAGTAATGAGCACAGTCAAGCGCCTTATAACCACACTAGTGAAGATCTATCGAAATAGTCTCTGGGTGCTCTCTTTTGTCCCACCCAGAGATGGTAGTGGATTGTGAAGCAGGGGGCGAGAGGTGTAGTCTTCATCTCTGTACCCACTTAAAAAAATTTCGTCCAACCCTATTAACGAGTATAATTTTCATCCACATTCCTGTCCACGGACAAATTTGTAATCCATGCCCCCGTCCCGTCCCTCGCTCCTATCCAACTTACCCGCCCCAACCCAAATCCAAACCCAAACCCAAACCCAAGTCAACATAATCTATAATTTTAAATAAATTTAAATACTAAATAATCCAACATAATTATAGAATATCATAACATAATTATTTTCATCTATAACATAATCAAACATGATATA